TCAAACGCATCTTATCTTCCAAAGTACAGGAAGCGTGCACGTGCAAAAAAAAAAAAAAAAAATAAAATAAAATAAAATAAAATAAAAACTACCAGACGGTAAGTATATTTCTAAGAGTCGCAGAAACAAAAAAAGAAAGAAAAAAAAAACGGGGAAAGAGAAGGAACAGAAGTAAATTGAATTAATTCGAGTGACCACTACACGGGGCCGGACATAGTCTCCAATCATGTATGTTTGGTGGTCATATTTTTAAGTGGTATGTGGTGACTGGTTGTAACCAACTAATTAACGGATGGAAATTTAAACACACCATGCCCGTGCACACACACACACATATATATATATATATATATACACGTACACACAAAAACATACACATTCACACACACACACATATATATACACGTACACACAAAAAACATACACATTCATACACACACACACACACACATATATATACACGTACACACAAAAACATACACATTCACACATATACAGGGTGCGATGGGTAAATTGTAGGCATTTTATATTTTTTTAATTTCACGCATGCGCGTTGTTTGTTTTTGATTTTGTTAACTGTACAGTAGGGTCAGTTGGGCACAGTCTGAAAGAAAAAGAGCACCATAACGCAATTCACTCCGCCAGAAATTTGGAAGCAGCATGCTGTACTGCTTGGCATTTACGCCGGAAGCTCCAATATAGACATTTCAGAGTTATTCATCTTCCCACAAGGCTTCAGACTCAACACGGAAGCCTATGTCGAATGCTTTAAAGAGGTAGTGCTGTCCTGAGTCAAGAGGGTGGCTGCTGGAAGACCCTATGTTTGGCAACGGGACGCTGCATCATGCCACACAAGAAGAAACCAGTCATGGCTGTCAGACAATTTCTGCAACCACATCACGCATTATATCTGGTCACTTAACATTGCTGCGTGCTACTGGCGTCAGTAATAAGAGTTCGAGCCCAGGTAAATACCAGAAATTTTCAAATTCTGATTTTTAAAGAAGACTAGACTTGGAGAATTTGACACTCTCAGGGCATATTGAAAACGAGAGAGACAAAAAGAAACAGTAAGTCAATGAGAGGGATAGTAGAAGGACAAACATTGCTTAGAGCTACGGAGGAAAGGAAAGACGAAGAGCACAATGGCCGAAACAACAAAGATTAGGACAATAGTCCGAATGTGAAGTGCAAATAAGGATAACTCCTTATCCTAGAAATTCGGACAAAAATTAAAGGATAGAAAGTTGTGGAGAGCCCTGATCGTCCACCTCCTATAAGAAATTGCACATAAAATGCCACCAGGTGTTAAAAGTGAAACGTTTACTATATGGCAGTGAAGAATGAGACTTGAAGGAACGGAAATATGGTTCTACAGAAGGATGCTGAGAATACCATGGACCGAAATGCGAGAAACGACGAAATTTTAGAGAAAATGGAAATAAAAAGGATACTTATACATAACATCAGGAAGAGACAGTTGAAATTTCTAGGGCACATAATGGGGAAAGAGGGCTTGGAAAATTAGATACTCCAAGGTATATTGAAGGCAGGAGGAGGGACAGAGGAAAACAACGCCTATCCTACCTTGCGAGCTTGAATAAATGGATGTCGGAGCAGGGTTTAGGGGGGGGGAGCAAAAATACAAAATTTATTAAGAGCTACAAAGGACAAGAAATTGTGGAGAGCCATTTTCGCCGATATACTGAAGACACAGAACACAGAAGAAGAATTATCTCTAAACAAAACGAACGCACTATTCGATTCGATCTGGTTTAAAATGGATACGTGTTTAGAATAAAAAGAGATGCTCGAAATTTTTGCGATACATAATGAGGAAAGAGGGTTTGGAGAATTTGACACTCACAGGATATACAAGAGAAGCGGAAATAAACTTCGAGTAAGCTCACTAATGCTTTGAGTAAATGGATAGCAGAACAAAAACTAAATGAGGATGATAAGGTGGGGGGCGAACACTGATTAGAGCTACAAAGAATAGGAAGTTGTGGAGTACTACTATCGCTTAGGTCCTGAAGGGATGCGACACAAAAATTAAAGACTAGACAGAGATGAGCAATAAAATATTTCTCTATCCAATTTGTCTCCTGTACTAAACGAGACAAAAATATGTTAAAATCTGTTAGCAATGATGACATTTAGTGTGTGTGTGTGTACCCGCTCTTTCGTTATTGTTTTCTCATATAGGTAAGCCATACGCACGTATGTATACACGCACGGGCGCCGGTTTTCGTTCTTATAAATACACGTACGTACAAGTAAATAACACCAGTACACGGACCCATGGTCGTTTGGACACTTGAGACTGTTTTCAAAATAGAAACGGAAAGGAAGTGAAAACAAAGTAGGGTGAGAGGCAGAGAAAAAAAAAAGGAGACAAATGAAAAGAAAGAAAGAAAGAAAAAGAAAGAAAGAAAGAAAGAAAGAAAGAAATGATGGGAAAAAGAAACATCTGAAGAAACTATAAAGAATTTGAATGGGAGTAAAGAGCAAGAGAGAGAAAAATGCAAAAATGTAACTTAAGAGAGAGAAAGAGAAGAGAAAGAGAAATAGGAAGGAGTGAGAGAGGTTATAGTAAGCGGAAAGGCGAGCGATGGTTTAGTACTCGCAAGATTTTGCTTGGGAAGTTCACGGGGGCATTCGTTAAGTCATTTTTCTTAAGTGATCACATCCGTCCACTTTGTATAATGATAAAGTTAAGGAAAGTCAAAAGTAGGATAAGAATGGGGATGGTCATTGAGATGTTGATTACATTCAGATAAATATGTTAGATAGATAGATAGATAGATAGATAGATAGATAGATAGATAGATAGATATGAACAGAATGGGACAGACAGACAGATAGATAGATAGATAGATAGATAGATAGATAGATAGATAGATAGATACAGAATTTAGATAGATAGATAGATAGATAGATAGATAGATAGATAGATAGATAGATCAAAATATTTATTTTGTATAAGAAATGTACTACCCAACCAAAAAAATGGGTACTGTTTGTCTGGTATTCCCTGTTCCATCATTTCATCTAACTAGTTACAATTACTGAATCATTCACTCAAAACAGATTTTCTTTCGACAAAGTATCACATTTACACTTCTCTTTCGTACTACAGTTACCATCGTGCCATTAATATTAATTGATAATTAATCTCCAATTACCCATCTTTATATTTACATATGTTATATCCTTGATAGTGAGCGCTTTAACCCATAAATGTAGCATATCTTAAAACTACATTTTTATATATCTATATATACAAAGTTGTAGCCTCTGTCAGAATGTTTGTTATTGAACTCCGCCTAGTATTGTGGAGATAGACCCCCGCCCATAGCCATATATTTTGAAACGACATTACTCAGGGTACTTGGATAAGTATATTTCATTTTGCTCAAAGGAGGTCCCCGGGAGGCACAAAACCCCACACTGATTTTTATCCCATTGAATTAAATTAAATTTTAATATGAAAAAGGGAATGATTCCTATCCAAAATATAGGAGAAAGCCAAAAGATGGAGGTTACATCGGCAAGATCAAAATGAGACAATATGGACGTCAAGTTAAGCAAGAAATCACTAATCAGTTGGTAGTGCTTTACAATACATATTTGTTGCGACAATTCAATTGTCATATCAGTACTGAAATCTGCTCATCATTCCATTCAATCAAGTATTGCGTCAAATACATAACAAGGGGATCAGATCAAACTGTTTTTGCACAAACCCAACACTGAATTTTTTCCCTTTTGATTTAAATTAAATTTAAATTTGATCAAAAGAATGCCTCCTATCCAAAATATAGAAGGAGAAAGCCAGAAGATGGAGGTCATATTAGCAAGATCATTGAGTAATATTGGAATGCATAATTTTTCTCCACATATTATAACAATGATTTAAAATCTATCATTTTCTTACAAAAAAATTGTGACACGCAGCAAGGCGCAAGAAATTCGGCTAGTATATATATATATATATATATATATATATATATATCCGTCTGCCAGGAAGAGCCAACTAACCAATAGTTCTGGCTCTGCTATTGCTGAGCATATAATAAATAGTAGGAAATATGTGGTTAATTTTAGTGTGGACCATTTTTGGATTTTATCTAGGTCCCACTCCACATTTCACCTCAAGGTTCTGGAGTCCTTGTATATCAGATCACGTGGGCCGTCCCTTTGTAAACAGAGGGAATGCCTGCTGGGTCTGAATGTTATTGGACTCTAGTTTCTTGAAATTCATTTTTTTTTCTTCCATTCCATTCGTTAATTTAATTTACACGCTTTTATAAATTTTATAAATTTTCTATTCCCAGAAAAAAGAATAAATAAACTTGATAAGTCCTGGGACGAAACCGGTTGTTTTTTTGTTTTTGTTTTTTTTTTTTTTTTTTTACCTTTTCTTTTTTTTTACCTTTTCTTTTTTAAAAAAAAAGCCTTATAAATTTTGTCTTTTCCTATCTATATATATATATATATATATATATATATATATATATATATATATATATATATATATATATATATATGTGTGTGTGTGTGTGTATTTATACGTTGTTTTTATGGATATAACTTAGCTGAGTAAATGCTGTTTTAATTAAACAGTATTAATTATATTTACCGACCTGAATATATATGTGTTGTGTGTGAGTGAGTGTGTGTGCGTTTGCGTGTGTGTGTGTATATCAGTGTGTTGCACGCGCGCGCGCGTGTGTGTTCATATTTATCCATATATTAAAATATTTGTTTGGCTTTCTATTTTTACAGATAATTTCTGTGTGACCAATATTTGCTACCAGAAACCTTATTGTTCTGCTGGAACCGAGATTGCTGTTATGAAAATTACCGATTCGTTGGAGCCCGATCAAATAATGAACAGCCTGACATATTATTGCAATAAGAGACAGCGTTGCATTGATGAACCATACATAGACAATAAGTGCAAGTCGGAAAACAATATGAAATTGCACTATGTTTGCATGAATGGTAAGGAAAATTAAAAGGGATATAATTTTTAACTGAGAAAATCCGGTTTTGCTAAACTATGTCTCGTAAACCTTTCTGCAAGCATAACAAAATCCATATATGAATACACGTTAAGTGATTTCTCACGAGAATTCTTCACAAAATCCAATTTAAAGTCTCGTTCATTAATATACAGGGTGACCATAATGTCTCTTTAGAAAATAAGACGTTTTAATAATAGTCTTTAATATTTTTGTTGTAAATTCTCAAGAACAAAAAAGTTATAAATTCACTTTCATATGTTTAGGTTTACCATTCTTATCATCACTTTTTAAAACAATAAACACTGCCGAAGAGTGAAGTTAGTTAAAAAAAAAGCGGTGTCATATGAAAAGCCGTCCTTTTGCTACGACGTCCTTTTGCGGGCCATTTTATCCATGTTTGACATTTTTTGTTTCTATCCTTCTCATTCCTTGACCTGCCACCCATTTACTTATTAGGTAAATTGCTCGCTGTATTCTTCTGTCTCTCTTGACTTCAATTTATCCTGTGAGTGTCAAATTCTCCAGGCCCTCTTTCCTCATTATGTGCTGTAGAAGTTATCGCTTTTTGATTCTAAGTATTTAGTCTTGCGCTTTGTCTTTACTTTCTGCAGTACGAGTTTTCCACGTCTCGACCAAAGACTTCAAGAGACATTTTTTTTTCTATCAGATATAAACAGATGAGGTGACATAAAATCAGAGAGAGAGAGAGAAAAAAAAATTAATTGCGGTCAATGCCTGGAGAGAAATCTATGCAAGATATGTAAAATATCTATGAGTATAATTTTTTGCAAAGTCCCATTGACTATTCTAAAAAAGAAATTGAAGAAAATAAGGTTATCCGGATTTATTGCTATGTCATAATAAATGCCCCCAACATACGTGGCAGCGAGTGTTAGTCCGCTTTCTTCCTCATGATAACAAGTGAATGTACAGCTTACCTAGCATCGACCTGGTGGGGAGTGGGGATCAACGGCCAATCCTTCACCCTCACCAAATAGTGGGCTTGGGAGGCATGCTTTCAATAAAAATTAAGAACAACAGGAGAAAGAACAGCGAAAACAATTCCAAGTTCAGAAAATCTATCAAGCAAGAATAGTCGGCCACTAAATCATGAGAATACTGACGAGACACTTTCGCTTCTAGCCAAAGACATTCAATTTTCCCTTTTTTCTGATTTTTCTTTCGAAACTGGATTTCTAACTAGACCATCAAATAGGTTAGAATGATTAGGACAAAATGTGTTACTATGAGCAAACACACTGACGTAGGGCTACCAGTATTTTTTTTTAATCAATTCATCCCAAGTAAGGCAATAAATCCATTAAGATGCAAAGGGATTACTGAGGATTAGAGAGTATAAGAAAAATACTATTAAGGAGAGGGAATAATAAAAGAACAAGAATTAAGTAGACAGAAGATAACGATTGACATTACATTTAAATTTGTAAAGATCAAAGTTGAATGGGAAGCAAGAAGAGAGTTCCACAAGTGAGAAGTGCATTAAAAGAAACTTTTAGCATACAACTTACGGTTACATCTAGCCATTTCAACTGTAAAATAACGAGACCTTGTCACCAATCCAGTACTGAGCTTAAATTCATAAAGTCTTCCTACCATAGAGGAAAGTTCTTCAGAACAATTACATTGAAAATATTTGTAGAAAAGACAGAGGGAAGTTACATTACGGCAGTGGGAAAATATCTGAAGGCGAGATACCAGGTCAGGTCCAATAACATTGCAAATTCTTCTTTGGATTTTATCAAGAATCTCTAAATGTATAGTAGGAAACCAGACTAGATGATACAGCAATATTCAATGTATGAACGAATGGTAGACTTATAAATTTGATCCACATTTTGTTTACTCCTTTGATATAATTCCAAAAACCCCAATAAAACAATGTTGTTGTCTTAAGACGCCACATTATTATTATTATTATTATTATTATTATTATTATTCAGAAAAAGTAACAACAACTGTAATGTGTGACAACGAAGAAACAATTGATAATGATGAAGGTCAAATTCGTTCATCTGACTATCCGAATATGATCCCAGACGGTAAGAACTACTGCCAAATCCGTTTTTACTTCGAAAAACTTTCGATTATGGAACTTTTCTTAATTGACCTACCTACACTGGAAGTCACGTACCAGGACAGTTATGACTTTAGTTCAAGTCGTAACAACGCATCCAGGCATATGTTCATTCCACCGGCTTACCAAGTTAACTTAAATATCGAATTGAATAAATTGCCACAGCGCCGAATCTGGATGTATTACAGAGGTGAGCACTAAACTCTTCTTTTTCTTTTTCTTTTTCTTCTTCTTCTTCTTCTTCTTTTATATGCCATGTCCTTTGAACGCGGGCGTTCATGACTCTTCACAACTTCCTATCACTTTTTACTCTAAATAACGTGGTCACTTTGCCATAGCTCTTTGTCATTGTTTTACATTTCAAAGTATGTTTCCTTCCATTTTTCTCTTGCTGTCAATATGTCCTGTGAGTGTTAAATTCTTCAAACCTTCTTTCCGGAAGTCATGGTCATTTATAAATGACCAAGAAATTTTGGCACTTTTCAATGTTTTCTTTTTATCACTCCATGCTTATCCTTCAAACAGCAACAGACTCTAAGCACTTTCAACAACATGAAACTTACTACACTTTCGAGAAGAAAAATTGCGAAAGCCTATACCCACAATAGGAACGAATAAAAAGATTCAAAAGTTGATTATCAGATCTCGTCTATTGTACAAATTTATTCTACATTGACTCCATTGTTAGGTCAGCTGCTATGAAAGTGGATTCACTGTGTCGTGCGAGACAATTTTTCTCTCCAGAATATATCTTCCATATCCATAAGTCTACCATGTGCCCCTGCTGTTTACCTGCAGTTCCTTGATAAGATCCAAAAAGAATCGGCAATATTATAGGTCCTGATTTAGCAGTTCAGCTTCAGTCACTTTTCCCGCCACCGTAAGGTTGCCTCTCTCCGTCTTTTCTATAAATATTTTCATGGTAATTGTTAGATGTAGCCGTAAGTTCTATGCTAACAGTTTATTTTCTCGCACTTCTTCCTTGTGAAACGCTCTTCTGGCTCCATGCTTCCCAGCCAACTTTAATCTGCAAAAAATTAAATGCAATGACAATCGCTATCTACTGTCCTCCAGATTACTCTGTTCTCTTTCTGCTCATTATTAATGTTTCTGTTCCTAATTCTTCCACACCCCATAACCCCTTGTGTCCTAGTGACCTTGTTTAGGGTGATACCTATTTTTAAAAAATACATCGTTTACGCGTACTTGTGGAGGAAGGCTAATTCTCCTTTCCAGAGTTTCTTACCCACAAGCCTATTGCTAATCTATCGCTATTTCAATGGTAAATGTTCAGATCAGCGCTCCATTCATTACTTCTACTGTTCGGGCCTTCACTTTTAGGACACGCTCTCTTACTTTCACGGTGTCAAATTATCCTCATTTCTCCATGTAACGAGAGCGTTTGCTTTATTTTCCTGCTACTTTGTCTAACAGACTCCGTCGTGGATGCTTCCCTGAACACTACAATCTTAACTTCTTCAAGTCAAGAGTCAATCGTTATCTATCCACATTATCCTCAAAATCTTCATTTCCTACTGCGACAGCTTTCACTCATATAACGTCTCATTGATCATAGCCATTTTAACAGTGACTCTGTACTTTGAGTGATAATCGAGAATTAACTATAGTATCTAAACAAAAGTCTACTTAATCATGTTTGATCTAAGCGACAAAAATGCGATGGGAGTGCTTATGTTATAAAGACGGAAGACTTCTATAAAACACTTGGATCCATCTTTCCACTGAAGAGACGCAAAGACACGAGGAAAAGGATGCTCATCTCTTGTGGCTTGAACTACCATCGATAAGAAACTTTAAAAGCCGATAGGGAGACATGGAAGTGCAAGATATACGAAGTAATGTCCCCTGTAAAATTAAACCTAACAAAAAAGATGAGCAAAAAAAGAGGTAGTTACATAAGACAAAAAATAATGGAAGCATTGATAATAATAATAAAAAAAGTCAACACTTAATACCGTCAGCTATGAACATGGTCACAATATGCTAACCATGTTTGGGAAAAAACTACCACATAAAAATCTACACATTTACTTAGAAGTTTTTTTTTAAAAATCACTACGATCTTAACACGTCCAACTCTAGGGTCAGTCGTTATCCATCCTACATCTAAATTGCACATCCACTATTATGAGAGGGACTCCTGTCTACCAGGGCGGCTATCAGGCACATTTGTGTTTGTTCAACATCCACGGATCTCACATCTGGTTTATACTGAAACTATACTGAGCCGACCTTAGTGTGATCAACAGACTGAACAAGACCAGCTCAAACCCTCGGTCACGATGACTTGTAACTTTGTGCTAGCACAGCCATCGACTCTTCCCAAGGGTTTTGTCGACCTAATTTCAGTCACAAGGCTTGATTTTGTTATCTCCGATTTGCAATTCGCACTTTACTATGTGATATCTGTCCACATGTGTGGGCGTGAATGCTGGACGATTACCTCAACGATAAAAAGGAGACTTGAAGCAACAGAAATGTGGTTCTACAGAAGGATGCTGAGAATAGCGCGGACCGAACATGTGAGCAACGATGAAAATTTTAGAGAAAATGGACGCAAAAAGGAAATTAATACTTAACATCAAGAAGAGACTGTTGAGATATCTGGTGTACATAAAGAGGAAGAGGGGCTTGTAAAATTTGATACTCACGGGACAGATAGAGGGCAAGAGGGACAGAGGAAAGCAATGCATAATATATTTTGTGAGTTTGAGTAAATAAATGGCGAGGCAAATAACAAAAAGACAAAGTTTATTAAGATCTACAAGGAACAGGAAATTGTGGAGAGTCATGATCGCCTACGTCCTGAAGGGACACGGCACACAAAGAACACAATATAGCAATATAATACTAAAAACCTGCGTGCATCGTCTGTCCGAAGCATAATAATTTAATTTTCTTTCCCCCTCTCTCTTTCCAGATATCTTTCTTTCCATCTCTCTCTCTCTCTCTCTTTCCACCTCTCTCTCTTTTTCCACCCCTCTCTCTTTCCACCTCTCTCTCTCTTTCCACCTCTCTCTCACTTTCCACTTCTCTCTCTTTCCGCCGCGCTCTCTTTCCAGATCTCTCTCTTTCCATCTCTCTCTCTTTCCGCCTCCCTCTCATTCCACCTCTCTGTCATTGCGTGCTTGCTTATTCATATTTCAGCTTTCTTTAAACAAACAATATTTAAAATGTTTTGCCATATTTAAAAAATATTTTCAAGTGAATATGATTTTAAAATATATTTTGGCATATTAAAAATTATTTTTAATAAGATTTAAGAAATATTTTAAATGAATAAGATTTAAAAATACGAGTTGTTTATACAGTAAGTATTTTCATTTCAACTTTCTTCAAACAGACAATTTTTTTAATGTTGAAATCAACTTCAGTGTTTTATAACATGAACCGTCAGTGACCCAACGGGTCAAAGGTCGTCTAGTTATAAGGTCGTATAACGCTTGTAGTTCTGGTTAATAATACATTAAGAAAACATTGGAACAAAACGGTTGAGTAAAGAACAGGTTTAATCACGAGAGACATGGATTAATTATACAGTAATAGAGATTACTGTAGTTCAGTGCGGCAATGCGTGCGACTCAAACGCTACGCCTTTGTGACAACCGTTCCTGTGAGCAGTCCATGCTCGACAATTACTGTAGAGAAGGTCGGTTCTTCTTTCTACACAGCACAATTACTGTTAGTCTAAGAGGTCTAGGCAAACATTAACCTTCCAAATACGTCTTTTTTATTCTTTTTAAAGGTGATGTTCACCCTGTACAAGGCCCGGAAGCCACTTGAGGTATGGGGTTACTGTTGTAGTGTCCTCCCTCTAAAGAGTCAATGTTGGAATCGTCCGCCTACTATAAGATTAGTAGGAGAGAAGGCCTTGGAGAAACAGTCGAATAGAGTGAACGCTGGTCAACCGACCCACACTCACTAGTCTTGTAATACTCTTCTGCTATATTTACTGTTTAATATATGATATATCTGTAACACTTGTTTTGTTATTTCATAAACCATTTACTTATCTACTCGACTGTTCCCCCAAGGCCTTCTCTCCTACTAATTTTATAGTAGGCGGAAGAGTCCACCATAGAAGCTTTAGAGAGAGGATACCACAATAGTTACAGAGTAAGAGACACATTTTTTATGGATATGTGAGGAAGATAATGGTTAATCCTTGAACAGGTTAAGATTGTAGTGACCGGGAAAACAGCCTCTTGAAATACAGAGGAAATGAGGGTAGTTCGCTACAATGTGCGTAGTATAACAAGGTCTTATCCGTAAAGGTTAGGGCTGGCGGAACGAAAGAATGTAGTTCGTTTTAGCATTTTCCATGGAAATAACGATATAACAGTGAGAGGCTTGCCTATGAGAAAAGGAATGTAGGGTTGAAATAATTCATTACCCACAAAGACGCGGAGACGTTTTTGGACTCTATCGAGACTGGAAAGAAAATGCTAGACAGTTCCTGCCTATATATGGCATCAGCACTCCATTTTAGACATAATCTGGCTCTTTTAAAGGCAGGGGATTAAACGAGGAGTCAGCTACTCACTAGAGCGCTACAGAGAAGCGACCATTTTTCCAGCCTCGTCAGTGATAGATCGTAGATAAGAGCTCCACTTGAGGTTTGAGTTAAGACATAATAGGCTCTCAAGGTACGGGGGCTTCCTGGGGGAACATTCATTCATTGTGACTGGTGATAGTTCAGAGTTCGATCGGCAATGGTGGAATGTAACTAGTTTGTTCTTCGAGGCATTGAATATAACCAGCCAGTCTTTCCTCCACTGTTAAGTCAATCTCTGGCTATCTAAAGTTTTGTATGTGTAAGTCTCAGGTAATATTTCCAACTATTTTCTTGAGGGCGGGGATTACCGTCTTATATGCAATTTGGCTATCTAAAGTTTTGTATGTGTAAGTCTCAGGTAATATTTCCAACTATTTTCTTGAGGGCGGGGATTACCGTCTTATATGCAATTTTCTAAAGTAGGTCTAAATAAGCAATTTACAAAAAACATTATTTACTTCTTTTTTTTTTTTTTTTTTTTTTTATCAAATTCAGTTTTACCTACAAACTCCAACCACTCAAGTGACAAAACCGGTATGCCCTGGACAAACAGCTGCCAAAATCAAGTGACGACTCCAGAACCCATGAATATGACAACTTTAAAAAGTAATCCAGGCATATCAGAAATGTCAAAAATGACAATGTTCAAGGTTTCAAGTTCTCCAAATCCCAGCAAAGGTAAGCAACGGCACACTTTTAATTAAAAGTCGAAAACCCCGTCTCATAGAAGTCTATTAGACAAAAAAAAAAACGTTTTACATTTCTGCTTCATACAGAACATCAAAGAGTACAATTTTAATATTTTATTTATACTAATTATTTAAATCTGTCTCCAGACAATACTGACCAGCGTTTAATCCAAACTCATGCTTTGGAAACATGGGCCTTGTGTAGCAAGTTCATACCGCTGACGATTTTGTTCATATGATTAGTTTCGATCGTTACAGTGCATAAAACTACCTTGACCTTGTGCCAGACTAAGCTTATTCATTGACAACCGATACTTAGGGATAAATATTAACAGGATTTAAACATAGTTATGAATACAGACAAAAGGGAAACATCTTAGCTGACGTGTTTCGTACTCTGAATGAATTTATCAAGGTAAATGTTCATCAGCGGACGAAACGCGTCGGTTAAGATATGTTTTACTTTTGATTTTATTGATATTGTTCTTTTACGGATATGTTTTAGTTATATCTGAAGTATTACATAGTTATGTGTATTTAGTTGCCTAAGGGTCACTAGTTCAATCCATGATTCAACCATCAGCATGAGCAGCAGCAGTAGTCGTGATATAAGTCCTGTTGAAAAAACCGCCAAACTATTCCACGCATCAAGAAAACAGAAAAAAAGCATACTGTTCGTAATTTTGTGACATATTTTATCCATATTCAGCTTACCAATATTTGTTATTTTTACACTATACTCCACCACTAAAGTACTCACCGATGTTTAGCAACTTTAAGCCTGGTCAGTACTAAATGGGTGACCGTTTGGGAATACCAGGTGCTGTAAGTGTGGATGTGCGGGTGGTGTAATGGATAATTGTTAATCGGAGAGCCGAGATTCAAATCCCATTGGATTCGTTATATTCACTTACTCACAAATACCCTTCGAATAAATATGAATCCAGCTGTTCTCCCCCAAGCTATGAGTTAATTACTAAAACCTGTATAACTAAATCTTTATTATCTCTACAAAAACATCTTGCAATCTAAAAAAATATTTACTGACTTTAAATAACCTGTAAAGGCTTGATAAGTGGTAGAAAATGAATTAATTAAAATACAACACAACACTACAACACTCCAATAACCGAATATAGATAGTCTCCGATTTATCATTGTTCGCCTTGGGATATTATGATGTTATGAAGTTTCTTTTTTTCATTACAATTACAGTTTTCTTCAGTACTCTAAGGTGTCGAACAGACGGGGGTGGGGCGTTTATTTATTTTATTTTTTTCTGGTTACGTGCCATAAATAGAACTGATATCACAAGAATGAATTCATTATAAACAATTAATCAAGAAAAGTCGATTCTCGCAGATTAAATAACGGCTTCGAGAAGTTTACCCAATTTATAGATACATTTAAATAAAATTAAACAAAAAAACCCCAAAATACAACGACCAAAATGTGATAAAACAATCAAAATGAGAACACTTGTTTGAATAAATCCGAAATGGAATCTCCCGTCGTAGATAGACGCGGGCCAAGGTTGACTCCTTATGGGTCATATAACGCCGAAATTTAATTTTCTTGGGAGCAAAGTAATGTTTTTTACAAAAATGTGTCGCTGGTAATATTTTTCCTTACATAAATGTATGGCTGGTAGTTGTTTTTTTTTTTACTATGAAAATGTGTTGCTGGCACTTCTACTACAAAAATGTATTTTTATACTTTCATAGTGTTTTGACCCCAGTTTAGGAGGGTTAACTTTAGCCATAGCTGGGACCCTAACAGGTGCTACCACCTCTTCATACCTTTCCCAAAGGTATTTGTGCGTAAGTGAGTTTAACGAAGCCGACTGAAATTGGAACTCGGCTCTTCGATTTCCAATTGCCAGCTTTTATCCATTACACAAATCTAGGTACTGACCAGGTTCAACGCTGCTTACTTCGGTGATTTGATGACAACTGGTGTTTCAACGTGATATGGCCGTAAGCCGCAACAACAGGAACGTGTAGCGTCAATAATGCTTCGAATCAAAAGACATGCATAAATGTACACATGAACCGAATTGAACATGTGTACAATTACAAGTTTTATATCAATAAACATGAAAATCAGATGATGACCTGATGTAAATTTTAGTGTGCATTAGAAACACAATGCCTCATTAATAAGAGGCGGTCAGACTGCTTGACCGATAAAGTCAGGTAGCGTATTTTATATTATAGTATATTTTTGCTTGTTTGTTTAGCGGCCATCTATGTGTCACTTATTACCGAAATTTAATTATCTTGGAAGCATTAGTAATTTCTTTTACAAAATGTATTGCTGGTAATTTGCTTTTCAAAAATGTATTGCTAGTAATATATTTCTTCTTACAAAAAATGTATTCCTGGTAATATTTTTTTTTTACAAAAATGTATTGCTATTAATATTTTTCCTTCTAAAATGTATTGCTGCTTATATTTCGTTTTACAAAAAATGTATTGCTGGTAATATATTTTTCCTTTAAAAATGTACTGCTGGTATTTTTTTTTTAATTGTATTGTTGGCAATATTTTTTTTCAAAAATATATTGCTAGTGAGATTTTTTTCATCAAAATGTATTGTTGTTAATATTTTTTTTTAGAAAAAGGTATTACTCTAATTTTTTTTTTTAGAAAAAGTTATTGCTGGTAATATATTTTTTTTAGAAAAAGGTATTGCTGGTAATATTTTTTTTTTTTTAGAAAAAGGTATTGCTGGTAATATTTTTTTTAGAAAAAGGTGTAGCTGGTAATTTTTTTTTAGAAAAAGGTATTGCTCGTAATATTTTTTTTAGAAAAATGTATTGCTGCCAATATATTTTTTCAAAAATGTATTGCTGTTAATATTTTTTAACAAAGATGTGTTGCTGGTAATATTTTTACTTCAAAAATGTATTGCTGATAATATATTTTTCTCCAAAAATGTATTGCTGGTAATTTTTTTTTTTTAAATTGTATTGCTGGTAATATTTTTTTTCAAAAATATATTGCTAGAGACAATTTTTTCTTCAAAAATGTATTGTTAGTAATATTTTTTCTTCAGAAATGTATTGTTAATAATATTTTTTTTTTAAAGGTATTGCTGGTAATATTTTGGGGGGAAAATTGTATTACTGACAATATTTTTTTCAAAAATGCATTGCTGGTAATTTCTTTTAACAAAGATGTGTTCCTGGTAATATTTTTTCTTCAAAAATGTATTGCTGGTAATATATTTTTTAATATTTTTAAAATGTATTTCTGGTAATATTTTTTTACAAAGATGCATTTCTGGTAAAAAATTTTTTCAATGTAATATAATTTTTTAAGTGTGTTGCTGGTAATATTTTTTCTTCAAAAATGTATTTCTGGTAATATTTTTTGTTAATTTATTTATTTGCAAAAATGTATTGCTGGTATTTTTACTATAAAAATGTATTTTATACTTTCATAGTGTTTTGACACCAGTTTAGGGGTCCACTATTTGCCCATAGTTGGGACCCCAACAAGTGCTACCACCCCATATCATGGTGGACGTGGGAACAACAGCAATTAAGAAGTGGTTCCACGCTCCTCAAAACCTCCCAGATATAATTTAACGTCACACCCAGGACGATATATTACAGCATAGATTTAAACGATGCTAATATACCTTTTACCAGACGCAGACTTTTTTCATGCCATTTTCAATCGGGATTTCCGTTATCTGTGAATCGCCATGACCCCTTGGAAAAAATAATGTAGGGACTTGCTGTTGTTTTCTCCATAGTTTCGAATTCAAATTTGACCTTCTCCTAGACTGGCTACCGTCCAGACTGTCCTATTAAGCCGTAACTGTAGGAGAAGAGAGAGAAAATGGGTTCTTGCCTTTTCCAAGGGCATTAGTGTGAAATAAACGCAACAGACTGGAAATTGAACTAGGTTCCTCAATTCAACTTTTCATCCTCAAATTCTAACCAACACAGTTTCTATGGTATAGCTGGTCAGTCGTACCCGAACTTACTTGTGTGCTAGGGTTGGTTAGCTAATCCCAACTGCAAACGCCCGCTCCGGCACACCTGTGTTTGTTCAACACCCATTGAGTAGTTTATACTGCAACTATGCCGAACGGACCTTAGTAAAAATGTCTAATAAGCTAAACAAGATTAAATAAAGCACAACTTCAGGTGCAAATCTGAATTCATGCGAAAGACTTATTATGTAAACTCAAGCTAGAGTCACTACATTCTATTGATAGGAATATCAAATGAATATACAAATGGCTATAATCTTGCACATTTATAAATCTGTCATTCGTCCGTGTATTGTAAGTACTGTTGCTATGTCTGCTTTGGTCTGGTGCTTCTACTGTGCATCTCGAGATTCTTTAAAAAATTCCGAAGAATGGTCTGCAATAAAATCAATCCTAGCCGGGCAACTCGTCTCCCGTCACTTTCTCACCAATATGACATGGTTTCCCTCTGTCTATTCGACAAATATTTTCATGGCAACTGTTCGGATGAGAATTTTTCCCTGGTGCCCCGACTAAATGAATGTTGATGGATTGGCAACTAGGTCTCACCATTTTACTGTTGAACGAGCTAAATGCAACCGCCACTTCTATTCTAACAGTTTCTTTTCTTGCACTCCTCGCCTGTGGAAATCCCTTCCGATTTCTTGCTTCCCTGATAACTACAATATTCAAAAATGTAAATGCAACATCAATCGCCATATACTTTCTTCGTGAATCCTGTTCCTTTTTTTGTCCTTTCCTGAATCCTCCCCACTTTCAATTTTCTTATTCTCTTTCACTTTCACTTCCTGTAACTCCTGTGTTCCACTGTCATTGTTGCCTTCCTTGGGGTGAAACGAATTTAAAAAAAACAATTAATCTACAATAGGAGAGATTCCATAAAATTTTATCAGTCCGATTCACTACTCGAGTTTCACCAGATAACCATACAGCATTTTAATGGGCCTTCGGCATTCTTCATCGTTATCAAATTTAATTCTGGCTCAATCTTTTTCGATTCAACTCGAAGTGTCCGTCTGATTTTCATTTGACAAATTTTGCAAGCAAAGCGATAGAAATAAGCCAGTGAGGTACTTAGAGTTGAAGAGAATGACAAGACTTTAGTGAGGAGAAAGGACAATAAAAGGACATTATTCAAGAAGACAGAAGATGGCGATTAACGTTGATTTATTTATTTGAAAATTGTAGCCAGCGTGGAAGCAAGAAACTGGGAAAATAATTTCAGAGTTGAGAAGTAATAGAGCATACGGTTGCAATATGAGCGCATTTCCCTATACATAAGGTCAGCATTAAACAAGATTTTAATACTACGAAAATCAATAAATGAATTGATACCCAGGTAGTTATTAGGATACATGAGATGAATATCCAGAATGAGAAATCGATGGCCTAGTACGTTACTTTCACTTTCACTTTCACAAAAATACTATTGGAAAAGATACTGAATTTATCGCATTTAACCACTATAGAGAAACATCCCTGTCCCCCATCAGCAAGGCGGATGCTCGTCTCCGTGAGAGCATTTCACTGCGCTTCATGTTTTCAACTGACTTGAAGTGAAACAAGTACATTAAATCAATAGCTGCATCTACTGCAAGGAAAGTTAGTTCACTGTGTCGTGCCAGAAGGTATTTCTCGTCAAAGTCCATATTAAACATCTACAGATCTACCATTTTTCCTTGCATTGAATACTGGTGACCCTGCCGTTAATCTCGAGGTTCTCGACAAAATCCAAAGAAGGATCTGTAGTGTAATTGGTCCTGAATTAGCTTCAACTTCAGACACTTTCTCACAGACGTAATATACATTCCCTCTGTCTTTTCTACAAATATTTTCATAGCCACTGTACTGACATGGTTTTTCCCTGGTTCCCCGACTACATGAATTTAAGTGGGCTACTAGATTGGCATCTAGGTCCCACCCATTTACTTTTGAAATAATTAAATGTAACCGACACTTCTACTCCAACAGTTTCTTTCTTCGCACTTCCCGACACTGGAACTCCCTTCCTCTCACTTGCTTCCATGATAATTACAATCTTCAAAATTGAAATGCATCGTCAATCCTCCTCTTCCCTTGCCTTGATCCCTGTTTTTTTTTTTTTTTCTTCAATCCTCCTTACACCCACTCCCTTCTCTAACTTTCACTCTCCGTAACCCACTAGTGGCACTCCTGCCTTGCTTGCGGTGAAATCCTTAAAAAATATCATCCTCTCTCCCAACTATGTGTTGAACTATAGGGAAGGCTAGGCTCTCGAGCTTTGGTTATCAACTAATTGGTGATTCGATAAAAACACCTATACTCCAGCAGCCTGGATCACTCATAGAGATGTGTCAACCCGCAAAAATACAAAATGACGGGAAAAAAAATCTGCCGCAGGCGGAGATAGCGTCTCCTTTTTCTTTTCAAGTAATTATTTATGGCATGTTTATCGTTCTTTTTCACTTATCCTTAAATGTCTTTTAGATATGCCCTCGATGCACAAGACCGGGGCCAACCAAGGAGAAAAGGAATTGAGCACTGCCCCGCACATTGTGATCCCGGATGGCATTCCAGTTGATACTGAAGTCGTAGACAAGATGGAACCTGTGACCATTCCCGTCATGCCTGCAAACACCGGTAGCATTAGCAGCAGCACGAGCAGCAGCAGTGGGGGCGATGTTAGACCCGTTGAAAAACCGCCAAATCATCCGACGCATCATGAAAACAGAAAAAAGGCATCGTGTACGTAATTCTGTAACATGTTTTACCCATATGCAGCGTACCAATATTCGCTATATTCATTGGCATCTACACTATGTCCCGTGTCCCCTCAAGACGTAGGAGGTCATTGATCTTCACGATTTTCCGCCCCTTGAAGCTCTAAAAACTACAACAAACCAAATACAAAAAGTCCTCGATTTACGATTACTCGCCTTAGGATATCTTGATGTTACGAACTTTTTTTTTCATTAAACTTACAATTTTGATCAATAATACTTAACGAATAGACGGGTGGGACATTTATTTTTATTTTCAATTTTTTTATTTTTTAGGATATTTCCCGAACCTTCGAGCTTATTAAGAACCCCCGTTTATTAATGAAATTATTTTTAAATGATTTTCCAACCACCCGTATTATTAAGATACCCCCACATATATTTCCTATTATGAAAAAAATCGACCCATGGGCGAAAATGTCAGCAACGACGAAGTTTTGGGGAGAATGGAAACAAAGACGAAACTTATACTTAACATCAGGAAAATTTTATGTGAATATAACATTTATTAAACTTCTGCTTGCCTCGTTTGATTCTCACGTGTTTACTCCCTACTTCTCTCTCACTCATAAAGGTAACAGATATTTGGTTCTACAGGAGGATGGTGATGATACCATGGACCGAACATGAGCAACGACTTCGTTTTAGAGAATATGGAAACGAAAATGAAACTTATACATAATATCAGGAAGAGGCAGCTGAAATTTCAGGGACAGGTAATGAGGAAGGAGGGCTTAGAAAATCTGATACTCACAGGATGAATAGAGGGAAAGAGGGACAAGTGCATGGCGGAACAGAGTTTGGGAGAAATAACAAAAAGACAAAACGTATTAAGAGCTTCAAGGGACGGGAGGAGGTGGAGGACCATGATCGCCTACTTTCTGAAGGGAAACGGCACATTAAAGAAGAAAGAGGAAATATATGGTGAAAGGTTTTGTTTAATCTATGTGAGCATTGAAGAATAATTATTTTACCATGCAATTTTAAAGAATTTTTTCTGTTTCTGTGGGAATGTGCGGAGAAACTCACACCATATATTTCCTCTCTACACATATGAATTTATAAAATTTATAGTATAGGATTGGTGTATACGGAATAAATTCCAATAACCAAAAAATACTATTCTTAAAAGAGTGCTCAATACAGAGTAGAGCAAATATAATTATTTATTCGAAAATTATAATTTTCGAATAAACAATTATATATATATATATATATCACTTCACTAGGCCATCCACCAAACAAGCCGCAACGAATGAAAGCCCCCGAAAGTGTGAGCTGGACGAGATAAGGTGGCGTCATATCTGTCCAAAGGGTATTAGAGCGTAAGTGAATATAACGAACCCAACGGGAATTGGAACCTGACTCTCCGATTAACAATTCCCAGTCAGTATCCATTACACCAGCCGCACATCTGAACCTCGAGGCACATGGTATTCTCAAGTGGTCACCCATCTAGGTACCGACCAGGCTCGATGATGCTTAACTTTGCTGATCGTACGGAAACTGGTGTTTCAAATGTGATTTTGCCGCAGGCAAGCAGATAGATAGATAGATAGATAGATAGATAGATAGATAGATATGAGGAGATTGTGACATATAGATAGATATATTGATAGATACGAAGAGATTGTGATAGATAGATAGATAGATAGATAGATAGATAATGATATGGTACTGCATGCAAAAATTTGCTTCAAACGAAACCTTATTTATGAAATGCAAGATATTATGTTTTACTTTAGTGTTTTTTATTATTTTCAGCGGTCTCTGAAACTCCGACAACTGGATTATATAGTAGAGAGGTCGTCATCGGTAAGTACTTAATTAAATAATTCAAATGCCATGTTCCTTCAAAATTTCCTGACCCTCAGCCGTTTCTATTTCTTTAAATATCGTTGAATTGCCATGATGATTCGTCGACACTGTTTTAATTTTCCCTACCAAGTTTGCAGAGCCCAATCTGCTTTTCCAATTGCTTGAGGAAGAAAAAGGGTGTTTATACCTTTCCCAAGGACGTTAGAGCGAAACAAACGCAACAACCTTAGCTAGAATTTGAACTCTGCCTGAAATTTCCAGAAAACGATCTTTTAATGTAGACAAAGCGGAACCTGGAACTAATGGACTTTGGAACCAAGCGGTAACTGGAACTAATATAAAAAAAAGTTTGTTGTGCGTCGACCATCATTGTCATTTGTTGCCATGTCAAACACGCAGAATCAAGAAAAATGGTTCGTGCTCCGGATAAGGAAAGAATCCTAATATTTGTCACGTCTGAAGATACGACTTTGACCCGAATTCCTGCGTTTTAAGTAAAGCGATAATGCCACTACGATGTAAGAGGTTACTGGGAGTGAAAGAGAATGAGAAAATTTTAGTGAGAAGTGAGAAGGGACAATAAAGAAACAGGATTTAGAAAGACATTAGATTGTTGTTGCATTTCACATTGTAGGTAGTTGGCATGGAAACAAGAAATCGGAATTGAGTTCCACAAGAGAGAAGTGCGAGAAACTATTGGAATAGAAGATACGGTTACATCTAGCTAGTTAAACAGTGAGACCTAGTTGTAAATCTTGTAGCACGCTTAAATCCACGCAATTGAGGCAAAAAGGAGGAAAGTTCATCAGAACAATTGTTATGAAAATATTTGTAGAAAAGATAAAGAGAAACCAAGTTACGTGAGTGAAAAGTGACTGGTCGAGATGACAGATCAGGACCGGTTATATTACAGACCATAACTGTGGATTAAACCCACTATACGATAATAATAGTCTGCTAAAGTAACTCACTGTCCATTCCGTCAAGCCCCGATGTCTATTCTCGTAATCAGCATTGCGCATCCATTGTAAGACAAAGGCCTTTTCCAATACTTTGCTATGTCTTACCAATAAATCTCTCTACTTGTGGTTTGTTGATTGATTTGTTTAACGGCATAACAACTTCTTATGGGTTATTTAATGCCGAAGTTTAGTTTTCTTAGGAGTTTTGAAGCAAAAAAAACTACGTTGTTCTGCTTTCACAATTGAACACATGGTAGATAATACTCAGCTTTTGTGCATATACACGTTTGTATGGAAATATTTACTAGAGGCGATATGTGTTTTATGTTATAGTTTTGTTATATTAAGGAATATGGTTTGATTTAAGAAATTGTAGGATTATATGGATTAATGTTATGAAAGTCCATACATGTTCGTTGTTTGATTAGTTTGGTTGATTTTATTTAGTGGCATATCAACACCTCTATGGGTTATTTAATGCTGAAATCTAAATATTTTGAACACAATTTTATGGCTTCAACTAGATATATTTTGAACGAAATTGTATGCTTTTAACTATAGTTAAAATGTGTTGCTGGTCATTTAACAACATGTATTGTTAGTCTTTTTTATATAAAAATGTATTGCTGGTACTTTTACCATTAAAATGTATTTTTTTATACTTTCATACTGTTTTTGTTTTGGGGGTTCACTATTTACCCATAGCTGGGAGCCTAACAGGTGCTACAAACACAGCTCAAGGTGAACCAAGGAACAACAGCAATTAAGACGTAGTTCCACGATCCTCAAAATTTCCAATCTTCCTATCAGAGTCCTTGCTGTCGGATGTAGTTAATCGTCATACCCAATATATATATATATATATATATATATATATATATATATATATATATATATATATATATATCGTCATCCACAGAGAGACTGTTTCGCTGTATCACAGCCCATCAGTGTGGCTAGACATCCGATCGAAACCCGGCTGATTTGGCATCAGTCGGAGATTCTACCCCTAAGCTATTGGCGGCCGGTAGAGAGGAAGGTGAACTTTTGTGTATTTATTTTTAAATAAACACGCCAGTGACCGAGAGGACTCAATCCATTAGGAGAGTCTTGCATTATCACCAGTAGTAGTCACTGTTTACAAATTCGCGCTATCTCTCCAAAGTGCTCAACCGAATTAATTTTTTTTTTTTTTTTGGTGGGGGCATATATCGTGATCCACAGACAGACTGTTTCGCTGTATAGCTCATCAGTGTGGCTAGACATCCGATCGCTTCAAGCTGGGATCGAAACCCGGCTGATTTGGCATCAGTCGGAGATTTTACTCCTAAGCTATATATATATATATATATATATATATATATAACTGGTTAAGCCACCTTATCTTTTTTAGAATGACAAATGCACATTGGTTGTATTTTAAAGACACCCCAACATAGAATTATTACTACTCGCATCCAGTACAGCCTAAGAATTACTACTGTTTCTAGACAACATAAAACATAGAGAAATATACTAACAACGAAACCCTTGAAAATAGCTAATGAATTGTCCAAAATTGAGATAATAGTCACAAGCGACAGTTTCTTGGTCCTTAAAAGAAGAAAAATATAAGAACATTAAAAAATTGAAAAAAAACTTATAAAATTTTCTTTGTTCGTCACATTCACTTAGACAGGGTAAATAATATAATTGATATATATATATATATATATATATATATATATATATATATATATATATATATATATATATATATTTAATTTCATATGCATTAAAAATGTGACGGAAGAAAGATATAAGCACAAAATAGACATGAGATATTGCAAAATCATTAAGTGGTTCCAACACAAGTTTGAGCAATGATCAAAGAACCACCTACAAAAGAAATTGGAAACATTAGGAAAATGAGAACAGCAAAAATAACTGACTTTACAAATGTCACAAAAAGAGATTTTTGAGAAACCTTAACAGTATAATAAACAAGAAAAACGGTCTGTCCAGCAAGATAATATTTGAAGAAATTGGTTTTACTAATATAAACAAAGAGAAAAGACGTAGTATATTAAGAACATTGGTCGAAAGCAACCACACTACCAAATTGAAGTAAATACCACAAAGAAGAAGGTGTAAATTAAACGAAGAAATACATGAGGTCTGGTTTCTCAACAGTATTTTTTATTGATAAATATAGAGGTACATTGTTTGCACCTGATTACTTGGATTCGATTTGGGTCCTGAATGGAAATAGTCAACCAATATGACTTAGAATACAAAAGTTTTCGGTTACTACTGTAGGCACTAAAATTCTTTAAAATGAATGATCATGTTGCCATTTTCTCTAAAACTTCGTCGTTGCTCACATGTTCGGTCCATGGTATGCTCAGCATCCTTCTGTAGAACCACATTTCTTTTCACAATTCATAAAAGAGGACAGATATCATGTAACAGTTCAGTACTCTTTTCTTTGTTTCTAATGAATTTTTCTTGTTTCTTAATACGCTGCTTAGCTTTTGAAAGGCGTCTTTGACTATCCCAATGCGCCTTCGGGTTTCAATGTCGCTCTTTTCGTGCTCTGTTAAAACATTTTCCAGATAGTGTCTTTGAGGAAATTGTTCAGCATTCACTACCATATAGGAGGACAGCCCATACAAGGCCCAAAAGCCACTCAAGGTAGAGGGTTACTGTGTGGTATTGTACGAGCGTAAGAAAAGACAAGAAGTGAAGTTCATGAGGCTAAGCAACAAAAGATAATAGCTAACCCTAGACTTGAAGATTGTAGTGACTGAGAAAAGGTGTTTTAACGCGAATCTTGGCAAAACCGTTATTACTGCAATGTATTTTCACATGGATGAAAAACAAAATGGGGCTTCTTTTATTTTTCTTCTGTTTTTACTTTCTTTTCTAGGGTTGATCGCTGGCGTCGTCATACTGGCGTGTTTAGTTATCATCCTCCTGACGGCTCTGGTTGCAAGTATGCGACGGTAAGTGTCCTGCCGGGCCTAGATCCGCCTAAGAATAACAGCCGGACAGAAGAGAGTTGCCGGTTTGTTTTATATATATATATATATATATATATATATATATATATATATATATATATATATATAGAATAATAATAAACGGACTCATTAACATCAGTAAAATCGTTATCACAATATTTATTATGTACAATACTTATGTTGCCGGCTTTTCATATTCCGAAATAAAATGCACACGCACACAGACACATTCATACATACATGCATACACACGCTTGCATATATACACATGAATATATACATTTCACACGGACAAGAACACAACATTACATACAATCTAATGATAAATAAAAATACAGAAAAATCATGAGTTTTGAGTTGAAAATTTTGGATTATCTTAAAGCATTATTACTTCTCCGTTGAGTAATAATTCTGTAAATTTTATTACTGTTTTTTGTTGTTGTTTTTATTTTGTTTTGTTTTTTCTAAAATTTCACGATAAACATAACTTATAGCGCCAGGTTAAATGCGAAAATCACTAAAAGAAATAGTAATATTGTAGATAACTCTATAGAAAATCACAACATCTACAGTATCTACAATAAAGCACAACTTGATTCCTGAATTAGTTTTTAAACAGATACGCGGGTAAGTTAAAAATAAATTATCCGCACTTTCACTCTAATGTATCTTTAGGTTTGTCACACTGACTTCTGTCCATGCGTGCCTATAGCTGGTACTATTGTGGTCACGTGATCGAAGTTTGAGTTTGATCGCGCCAGTTTTCTTGCTGTTATTACAGTGCGAACATAGCCGATCCGCTAGTAGTGTGCACCAAAGAGCAACAAGAAACAGTGATCCAGTTTCTCTGGTCGGATGTGATTCATCGGAGGCTTTTAACACAATACGGCGACAGTGCAGTATCGCGTAGAAGTGTGTATGAGTGGATCGAGAAGTCAAATGTGGCTGGACATGCGTGGCACACGAAGAAGGAACAGGACATCCGTCAACCTCCACCACTGACGAGAAGATTCAGCAAGACTGGTGATGGTGAACCGGCGAGTTATCATCGGTGAGGTAGCATGTTCTCTGCAGATTCGAATCCCTGCTCTTTCTTCCTACTTAATGCAGACTGCTAGCGGAGCGGCCATGTTTCCACTGTAGCAGCAGAAAAAAACAAACAAACGCAATCAAGCTCAAACATCGATCACGTGACCACAATAGTACCAACTATATGCATGCATGAGCATAACGTAGTTGGACAAACCTAAAGATACAGATTTGGATCACTGCTCTTTGTTTCTTCTTGGTGCACAGTGCTAGTGGAGCAGCCATGTTTGCACTGTAACAACAGCAAGAAAACTAGCGCAATTAAACTCAAACTTTGATCACGTGATCGCAATAGTATCAAATATAAGCATACATGATCAGAAGGCAGTTTAACAAACCTAAAATTATGTTATGGCGAAAGTGCGAATAATTTTTGATTTAATCTCGTAATATTTATCGCTTGCTGCTTTTGATATGCAAAAATACTTATCGGCATTACATTTTTTATGGATGGATATTTCTATTAATTTCTACCTCTTTATTGTCTCTTTTTGACTGTAAAGAGAAGTCAAAATTATGAAGTTGTCAGCTATAGATTCCCTGCTAAACTATATGTAGTGTAAAAAGAAATAATTCCGTGTTATTAGAAATCTGTAAGAAATTAATGTTTCTAGAAAGCCAAAACCAACATTTTTAGTAGAAGGATATTTAACCTCATTGGCGTATTCCCGCCCGAATAGATACCTTTATGCATTTTTTCGTGTGTTATAAAATAAAATACAGGGCTTATCATAAGTGCTGAACGAACAACTCTTTACCTAATTGTTAGCCTATCCAGCGTACATTGCATGTGTTTCATAGTCAAAGATTGCGCTTCAGGCTTGAAGATTGCATTCAGGAAACAGACTGTCGCCGCTTAGTGTTAACCTCAGTGTCTACTTTTATATTAATATTTACATACGCTCTATCCCTGATATTGAGTACCTTTACCGATAAATATAGCATACCCCAAAACCATATTTGTGTTTTATATATATATATATATATATATATATATATATATATATATATATATATATATATATATGTATATTTAGGCAGCAATCCTTCGTTTATGTATGTTTCATTAAAAACGACACACAAGGTACTACAGTTAAGCTTTTTATTTAATTTTTTCTTGTGTTCGAACAAGAGCTTTCTTTACTGGATAAAGAGTGTGTAAAAACTGTCCAAATGTTTTATAGTTCCAAGCGCTTTCAGCTATACCTTTAGCCATTATCAAGCATGAGTCGATTTTTCAGCTTAATTGAGTGTGTGCATTATATGTAAGTTTTAGCGTGTTGTAGAGATGTTTTTAATTTCCGCAGAAAACACAAATATAATAACTTCATCCACTTGTAAAAAAAGATAAAAAATAATGGAAGCTTTAATAATATAAAAGAAAAAGCCAACTCTTAACAATATTAACTACGAACAAGGCCACAACGTGCTAACCGTATTCGGAAATTACACACACTGTCCAGAAAAGAAAGTTCTTGTTCGAACGCAAGAAAAATTAAATAAAAAGCTTAACCGTAGTACCTTGTCTGTCGTTTTTAATGAAAATATATATATATATATATATATATATATATATATATATATATATATATATATATGCACACATGGACAGATAGATGATAAAAGTCAATATCTTTAAATAAGAGGATCTGAATGTATGAATAGAGATTGTATGTGCATGAATCAGGTATCTTTACATTATTTCGGAGAACCGAGAAAGACAAACAATATCGTGAGGTATTACCCGAGAGCTTTGTATTGGGGTCTTTGTTACGACACTTAGCATTATCAAGTTATATACGTGTGTGCAGGTGTACGGGATGTGGAAATGAATGTGTAATTTCAGAGGTGAGAGGCAATAGTTAATTTCAAGTAGTTATGTGTACAAGTAGAATGAGAGAGAACCAAAGTGAGAAGACGAAAGAATCGATTTAACAATTAAGAAGAAGTGAGAACAGAATTGATTCCAGTCTTCATTTAGTTATGTTTCATATATTTTCCTCTTGATTTTATTTTATATGGGGTCTGTGTATATGTGCGTCTATTTCTTAATATTCTTTAAGAACCAAACGTTGATCTTTCAAGTAATAATACACTCAGTATATTTAACATTGTGTAACTTTGTTTACCTTTACTTTTAACTGTTTATAAGCTTGTTCGTACAGGCTTCCTAAGTATCATATTACCGCACGGCTCGTATAATGCTGCAGTTTCAGGGGCAAGTGTCTTTTTTTTTTTTACGGAATGAAATTACTAGCCCCACGGCCAAACCTCTGGATTTGAATTTAGAATCGTTGTTCTTTTGGACTGATTATCCACCAAGGCAGAACCACTGTTGTGCATACCATGTCAGGAACCATACAGAATTTTTAACATATTGATAATCTGTAACGAATTTCGACAAACAAGAGTCAAGTACAAAAGAGCAGATAAACTAAAAGAACTCTGAAAATACGGAACCAATGAAGATTTTTTGTAAAGGAGATTAACAGAATATAAATTTACGATCGATTTCTGTATGGTTTACACATGGGAAAGTCCGACAAACTTTTTTAAGGAAAAGGTTTATTACAATTTATCTTTATACAAGTTTTATCTGGAAAAATCATTCTTACCGTATATATTCGCGTATCATGCGATTTTTGAAGGGCTAATTTTGAAGTTAATTTTAAGAGGGTCGCATCATACACGGTAAATAAAATTAGCGTATGTACTGCTGGCCCTGGCTACGACGTTGATCAGATTATATATCCATTTACTGTAGTCAAATTATCTTCAAAATTAGGTCTTAAAAGGTCGCATATGTGAGTATATATGGTATGTAATTTATATTCATCCCCAAAATTGTTAATACAATATTCACTTGCAAAAAAAAAAAAAATTATTCTAATACAATTGAAAAATATGTTTTGGCTTTAAATACCCACAAATTCTTGATAATCCAACAAACATGGTTTCTCTCAGTCGCTCTGTGTCCAAGGTTATAAGCAATAAATAAGCTTTAGGTTAAGCAATTCAGGGATGTCTAGGTGCGTGACTTCCCTGAAAGTAATAGCACAAGTTTACAATGATATTCAACAACCTGAATTTGAAGCTGTTTTTCATTTGTTTTGCGTATTAGTTTCCCTCTAATAGTTGTTGAATTATGCCAATGATATGAAATTGAATCAAAAAGCTCCCAAAAGCTTTAAAAATTACACCATAACTCACTCCAGACCTCACGTGGTATTTTTATTTACGACCCATCACTGAAGATGCTGGAAAAATAGTCAGTTTCTTCTACCGCGTCAGAAAGTGCCTAGCTTCGTCTACCATGCTCGATCTTTACAATTTTACAAGATCCAAGTCAAACAAAATTGGAGTATTGTTACCATATCTAAACTGAAACTGCCCAATTGTTATATTCTGAAAATACACTAACCAACAGCAATGAAGTCGGTGTGCTGGCAAAATAATAACAAGAGACTTGAATCTTTTATTACTTAATATTGAGCCTTACATTCAACACGTGTACCTTATATTCTGGCTGCGATGTGTGTGAGACTGCTCCCTATCTTATTTGGGGCGGTTGTTTCTGTATCCATCTACTCAAAACTTTTTATCGCTTGCGTAGTCTTGTTCACAGGTGTTCACCTCAAGCGCGGATCTGCACCTCTAGCTTGTCTCATCTCAGGTGAACTCTGCATCTGGCTTCCTCTGGTGGTCTGGTGTGAAATTGAGTGCCATACCTATTCCAGCATTATACTACATAAGCTAGCTTACTCAGATCAAGAGACATCAGAATATAAATATATATATATATATATATATATATATATATATATGCGTGTGTGTGTAATGAGAGAATCTGATGATTCTTTTCAGTTTGAACGTTATTTGAAAAATAATCATATTAATTTTGCGTCTCTTCTCGGAAATTTCCAAGAAAACTTGTCAACTCGGGTTTAGTAACGGAATCCGATGACTTAAATTGTTTTAGACACACACACGTACGCACAAATGTGCGATCGGGCGCCGAGCTTTCACCGATTAGGATCAATGGACGCTGCCACAGGGAGGCCCCGTTCCTCGAGCACCTCTTGGGCCTTCAACTCAACACAGACCTCAAGCAGAGCTCGTACATATGATCTATCTTAGCGATGGATCATATGAGGCTGGAAAAATGGTCGTGTCCCTGTACCGTTATAGCAAGTACCTGACTCCTCGTGCAATCCTCTACCTTTACAAGAGCCAGATCAGGCCTAAAATAGAGAATTGCTGCCATATATGGGCAGGGGATGACCCACGCTTCACTTTCCAGTCTCGATAGAGTCCAAATTCATCTCAGCGTCCTTGTGGATGATGAGTTATTTTCCAACCTTCAACTCTTTCCCTACACACGAAACGTCGCAAGACTCTCAGTGCTCTATCGCTAGTTCCATGGAAAGTGCTCAGACGAACTACAGTTCTTAATTCTATCAGTTTTAACCTTCATGGCTAAGACTCGCCATGCTACCCACATTGTAGAAATCCACCCTAATTCCCTTTGCATTATGTTTGTGATATGTAAGTTTCAATCTAGCAGCTTCTTCCTGCGAATGGTTGCTCTGCGGAACCGACTCCCAATTGGACTTTTCTATCTAATCACCTCAATTTTGGCCAGTTCAAGTTTAGGATTAACCGTTAACATCCCCAAGAATCCGCAAATGTGCTTCTTATTCTGTAACCCTCTACATCGAGTGTCTCCCATGCCTTTGTACAAGGTGAACATCACTGTAAAAAAAAGAAAGAATAACATGTATTAGGTTGGAAAAAAATTCATGTCACATTTAAAGATAGAAAGAAACAAATTTTTATTTGATGCTAATTGATATATTCCACCTATAGTCCCCGTATTTATCGATAGCCTGATACCATTTATCAAATGTTTGATTCCGCGAGCGTAAAATTCTTCAGGTTTTGATGCCAAAAAAAACACTCAATTACATTTCTATCCTCTTCGTAATTTATAAACTGTTTTCCCTCTAAAAATCTTGCAAACATCGAAAAAGATGATAGACGGAGCAAGGTCAGGAGAGTAAGGGGAATGAGGCAAAAATGCCATATTTAGTGCCATAATGTTTACCTTAGTGGCTCGTGCAATATGTGGCTTTGCATTATCGCGTGGAAACAACACGCCTTTACGGTTAACCAAATGATCTGTTCTATTTCTGCAAATGCTTGTGCAATTAATTTTGAAATCTAATGAAATTTAGCATTTTGTTATTACACTTTTGTTATACACTTGTTAATATTAAATTTGCCAATTTCTCCTTGCTTAAATTCAAATTATTTTAACTTTAAGATCAACGAGTAATGGAAAGGTTTTGAAATTTTGAAGTGATAGGATCCTTTGAAAGGGTAAAGAACTGCTGAATTAAAATAGTTTCATTCTATTCTGGCGTACTTTTCAATAAATACTTTGCAATGCCTGAAAAAAATGTCTAACAGGGAGCAAAACCCAAAAATACTTTGTAGAGAATTATGGTTAGAATGAATCACGTCATAAGTTCCGTAAACCATTGGGGTCGTAATGGCACGACATTAACTCCAGTCATAGCAGCAGTGTTGTGACTATATCAAGATAGCCTGATGGAGCCTATCCCTCTGAAGACTGTTATGAGTTTTACAAAAAGAAAGAAAAAGAAAATAAACAAATATTAAAGAAATTTTAAAACTGAATGTTTAAAATCGATGAGTAATTTTAGGATAATTCCATAAAAAAAATAGTTTTAAATTCGATGTGATTGCATACTTAATACTGACGTAAAAAAAAAAAAAAAAAAAAAAACAGTCAAACATGGATAAACATGCCCACAGTAAGGCGTAGTGTCAAAAGGACGGTTTTTCTCATATCACCGCTTGTTTAACTACCTTCACTCCTCGATAATGTTCATTGTTTTAAAAAGCGACAATAAGAATTAGAATAAAAGTAAAACCTAAACGCATGATGAAATTGAATTTATATATTTTTTGTTCTTGAGAATTACAACAAAAATATTAAACACTATTTATTAGATTGTTTATTTACAAGGATAATAATTTACAACATTCTAAAAACAAATACAATTAGAACTCATGCAATACATATTTATAATTTACCAATTTATAAAGAAATAAATGTGAAAAAATTTTTTATTCATAAATCAATTAACATTTAATAAATTATTAAAATATATGAACCAACTATAAGGAAATCCTTATTATTTAGTATTTTATAAAGTTTGAATCAATTCGCAATTATTAGCCGATGTTTGTCAACCATTCCAATAAATAATATAATAAATAAATAGTGTAAATAAACAATTTAATAGTGTTTATTATTTTTGTTGTCAATTCTTAAGAACAAAGATATAGCATAAATTCACTTTCATATGTTTAGGTCTTATTACAATGTTTAGGTTTTATTACAATTCTAATCATCGCTTATTAAAACAAGAAACATTGCCGAAAAGTGTAGGTAGGTAAACAAGCGGTGCTATGGGAAAAATCGTCCTTTTGACACTCCAACTTATTACGGGTATGTTTATGCATGTTTGCCAAAAACACAATTGTTTCTTATTTACCTGATAAAGCATAGAATTTTATTCCAATGTAAAGGGAAGACTGTTTGAAAATTTTAACGTTTTTAAAATTAAATAAAAGAAATAATTCTCCATTTACATTCACTAAAAGAAAATCATCTCTCCTCTCTATGTAATTGAATATTAGCAATTACTCTATTTTCCGCCTTATAAAACGCATTCCTATACGCCAAAAAAAATTAAATATTACAATGCGCAGGTGTCCTATAAAGGGAAAGCTGTGCCCAAAAGGCTTAAGATAAAAACTAAGTATAAATTCCAGTAAATTTAAACTGTGATATGTCGTTGTAAACATGCGTCTTATGCGTCGAAAATTCAAAAAGTCGTAAAATATCTGATTATAATTCTGCTTGCCCCTCCCTTAGTTAGCACGACCGTTACTCCCTGCCAATAACACACGAATAATGAACTACTGCGTTTTGATAGCGTAGAAAGACGGAAAACACATATAAAAAGCGCTACTTGGTTTCAATGAGAAAATGAAAGAAAGAAAGAAAGAAAGAAAGAAAGAAAGAAAGAAAGAAAGAAGTGTTTTGTTTCAGTGAAATGGAAAAAGTCAATTTCAAATCTTTTCATTTGTACCCCCTTACTTGTTAAAATAACGACCAGCATTCATATTTATGAATAGTTATGTTAGTTATTGTTCTTGCAAAGTTTTTGTTCAAATATTTAACGATGCGATAGGGGAATTTCGACAGATATTTTATTGTCGTGGAACTTGTCATGAAATTATTCAATCATTAGCTTAAGAATTAAGATTCATCAGAAAATTAACCGAAAGCCGTGAAATTTTCATGAATATTTCTAGTTTTAAATACAATTGCTAAAAATGGTAACATAGAATTTGTAATCAAGCAAGAATACAGCTTCGCATTTTATTTGATTTACATAATTTGCTTACTTGATAGAGAATCTATCGATAAAAAAGCCATTTGGAAGAGCTGAATACTGTGTAAAAATATATGCCTTTTCCTGTCTTAGTGTTCAGTTCCAACCAAGAACTTTATTTTTAGCACATAAAAAATTTACTTCACCGTGCATTAAACATGTTTAATTATATAGTTTTATTTTCTGTGATATTTTTCATGTTTTAATGAGGATATGCGTGGTCAGGCAAGAATTATGTTTACTATTACAACAAATGGAGGAGGAATTTCGGATTGGAGTTCCTATAAAGTCGGGAAAATATATAAATAATAGCGAAAGAAAAAAAAAAGTAAAGTAAACGCTTTTGGAACAAAGCATTGATACAATTGAAGAGCTTTGGTTTCCTTCCATGTTTGAGAAAATGCTATATCTTTACAGAAATCCTCCCAATACGATTCCTTGTGGGACCACGAAACCGCCTCCTCCTAGAAACGCTGCACAGTTGTGAACCTGTCTTATTCCTACACTTCGCCTTTTGTAGACGTCGACGGTCCCTTGCAGACGCTGAAGAGAGAGATGAACATAACAGCGGCCCCGGTATTACAACAAACGAAAATTTGGTATCGTTCCAGTACCTGAAGACACTCCCTGCCGAAGGAGACAATGGGACCTTGGGCACGAGATCTCAAGAAAGCGAAGACAGCATCAGTAGAGATTCTACATCAAAGAAAAGCCTCATAACTAAACCCGTTAAAAAGAAAAACTCCCTGGCTCCTTCCGAGAACGAATCGAGCAAAACTGCAGATACGATTTCAAGCAAGGACGACAGCGTTTTCCACTGTTTCAAGAACACCGACGATTATTCAAATTTCCACAGCGAGGGGAGTAAGTCAGTCGACTCAGGTCTTATGAACAAGAACGATAACTCTTTCACTGGGAGGAATCGCCTTGATGCTGACCTTTCAAAGTACGCAGAAAATCACGATGGCAAAGACGACGATGTATTTCGAGACGTTCCACACTTTTATGTCAATGGAGACGATTACGCCTTGGTACAAAAGGATAGTCGCCGGTCACCAAGAAGTACTCTCATCGGTGATAAATCAAGTATTTACGCCAATTCATCTCCCAGACCCAAAAGTGGAAGCAGTGGAAGCGTCCAGGATTCTGATGTCTTGGAATGGACAAAAGGTTTTAATCTAGCTGTTTAATTTGCTGAATTTGCTACAGTGAGGGTTCTTAAGAATTTATAACAAATGATTTCTTTTCCTTTCTTTCTTCTTCTATCTCGTGACCAGAGCATGTTATAATGTGCTGATTTTAAAACAACTCAACCATGCCACTATTTTTATATACTTCTATATTTTTCTATAACTAATCCTGGGTATGACGATAAACTACATCCAGCAGCAAGGACTCTGATCAGCAAATTGGAGATTTTGAGGAGCATGGAACCACCTCTTAATTGCTGTTGTTCCCAGGTCCACCCTAACCCGGGGTGGTAGCACCTGTTAGGGTCCCAGCTATGGGAAAATAGTGAACCCTCAAACAAAACACTATGAAAATATAAAACACATTTTATAGTAAAAATAGCAGCAATATATTTTTATATTAAAAAAATTACCAATATATTTTATAGCGAAATTACCAACAATGCATTTTATAGAAAAATGACTAGCAACACATTTTATAGTAAAATGACCAGCAATATATTTTATCAGTAGTTAAAGACATACAATTGCGTTCAAAATATATTTAGCTGAAGCTGTAAAATTGTGTTCAAAATATTTAGATTTCGGCATTAAATGACCCACAGAGGTTGATATGCCACTAAACAAAATCAACCAAACAACATTTTATAACTAACGTCAGATTTCAACATTCTAAGAATATAATCTATTTTTGGCACCATGCATATAAATAGTCTTTTACAATTCAATGCAAAAACTCTTCGATTTAGCTTTTCTAAGTTTAAAACTTTATTATTTTTTAAAAATCTTAGACTTATTTCCGTTGGCTTTCTGTTGTTGAGATGGCCGGCGAGATATTAATATTAATAATAGATTATACGAGTTATGTTTCCTAATTGTGATATTATTTTTTAAAATTTTAAAACCGGCCATGTAGCTCATTGAATAGCTTATATTTGTAATTAAACCAGGCCTGAACCATCTCATCAGCCATTTTCTTTTGTCCCATTGTAAGCTTGATAATTTATGCTTGAAACAAGCTGACTTTTGATTTACTCATTTCAGTATTTTGACTTAGAATCAAATGGAAATTAACAATTTTAATGGGTTTAGTAATGATGCAAATTCATGCCACTATATTGAGTTATCATCCATTAATTTCATGGGAAATAACTCTAGTCAAAAGAAAAGAAAAGATCTCTGTAATGTGACTTTATTTTATCCGGATATTTCGATGTACGAAAAGACAAACTGGAATGCTTTTAAAAATAAAGATTTGGGCGAATTTATGAAACAAAAACGAAAATATACTCTGCAACCGAAAACGTTCTATCAGAAAATGAAGTACATGGTATTTTTATAATTTCTTATCTAATTTATTTGTGAAGAATGCCACTTTGAAATACATCGCTAAAACTAAATTCCCTCTTATCTTTTATTAGTCCCCTAATAAATATATAAAGAATATTTTAATGGAAACTTTTAGACATTCTCTAGTTGATGTAGTAGTGTGAATGATAATCCCCGTACAAAAATGTCTCTCCTCCTCTATCTCTCATCTAGAAATAATTATATCAAAGAAGAACTGGGCTTATTTTTTATTTCTTTTATTAGACGAATGGAAGATCGATTTATTTTATTTTATTTTTCTTTAGTGATTCGTGTCTAAATTTCATCTTCCCTCGTGAAACACTGCGACAGGATTGAACCGATAATTCTGCAGAATTTTCCGCAAAAGTCATTCCAAATTTGCATGCACTCCTCAAACTCCATTTTTTAAAATTTTGTATTCTCATATTATTCTTTCTACCAATAAAAAGAATTACACAAAATTCACATCTCATTGTTCCTGACTACATTATTAAATCTGTATGCGTTTGTGAGTGTTTATATATGTGTATGTGTATGCATGTGTCTGTATGTTTATGTATGTGCGTTTGTGTGTGTAAGCGTTTGTGATTTTTTGTGTGTTTTGCGTGTGTTTATGTATGTGTGCAAAATACCCTAGTTCTTGATATTTACTAATGTTTCTTTAGTTAAGCACCAATACACAGTACCCAATGAGGATAGACTAATTTCAGTAATAATAGTATGCGAGAGTAGCTTGGTTGGTGTCCAAAGCGAAGCACCCTGGAGTATGTATCGATATCTACTAAGTTTTTATCAACGCACAAACCACAGTCTTGAGAATTCAGTGGGGTTCGAATTCACTGCACAAGTGATTTAGTCTACGTGACGAGCTTATAACTGCTAGCAGGCGCATAGTCGGGTTATCGGCGACTAAACTGATGAGGAAGTTGGCTAGACACCGTGCTGAATTAAAAACATGTCAAAGGCAAATGAATTTCAGGAATGAGCGGCCATCTGACGCAAAAAGACAGACTGGGCTACAAAACTGTCTATGCAGCCAGTGACACGGCATCGCCTGAGGGAGCGTTTCCTAGACTGAAATCAACGGTATTGGCGTAAGGTTCCTCCAATTGAAGCAATGCTCACTTGTCCGTGATCCAAGACGAGCCTTCGTGTTAGAAGACAACAGCTGTCGTTTGATCTGAAGATGGGTGGACTTCGCCAGGTCTACTTGTCAAAGACATGGTACACCTAAATGAATACCTCTCTGGCTTTCAACCCAGATATGTGGAGGAAACAAATCAGTTGTTCAATTGCGCAGAGCCCTTACGACCATACCTAATCATGAGATTGATGTTGATAATGATGATGATTTTGTTAACCACTGTGCCACGGTAGGCGTCCTACTTTGCTAAACACAAAACAACCAGTAAGCGTTAAACACACTACAGTAGTAATGATTTACTAGATTAATTTGTTAACTGTAGTCAACCAAGAGACACCGAAATTATTTCAGTTCTCTAGAATTAAATAGCAGCAGGGTTGACATTTTGGGATACTTATAAAAGTCTAGTGCTACAAAAATTTGAACTTATGGTATTTTAGGGATTATTTTAGAATCAAAAGATACTAATATCTAGGAAAGTAACTCATTGCGTCTTCTGCGTCTGACCATTTCTAGTGACATCAAGTGGTACGATTACATTGAATCAATTGATCAGTTTGCTGCTAGGAAATTTGGTTCACTGTGTCGTGCTAGACAATTTTTCTCGTCAGAATCTATCTAGCACATTTAGAAATCTACCATTCGTTTGTGCATTGAATATTCCTGATATATCTGGATCTCCTGGAATATATCTATAGATTTTCGACAAAATCCAAAGAAGGATCTGTAATGTTATCCCTCCTAACCTGGCATCTCGACTTCAGTCACTTTCCCACCGCTATGACGTGGCTTCTCTCTATTTTTTCTATAAATATTTTTATAATTGTTTGAATGAGCTCTCCTCCTTGGTACCTTAACTGCATGAATTTAAGCGTACTACTAGATTGGTAAATAGGAAGAAGTAAGAAAATAAGAGAGAGGAACGAAGGAAGTTTAAAAAGGAACTTCAACTTAGAAGTTGCTTTTAAAGAAAATAGTTTATAGAAAATATGAAAAATACTTATTCTCTTGTTTATTTATGACAATACTCATGTTGGTCTGTAGGATCATCTCGTTTTGATCAGAAATCTGTTATTCTGATTGATTCTTTATATCTGTTCCAGTCATTTTCGCTTCTATACTTTAGTGGCAAAGAAAAAAAAGAAAGAAACGAGGCAAAGTAAGAGAATGAAATGAATTAAAGGAAAAGAAAGAAAGAAAGAAAGAAAGAGAGAGAGAGAGAGAGAGAGATGGAATGAAAAGGAATGTGAAACAAAACAAAGAAAGAGAAAGAAATGAATTAAAGGAAAAGAAAGAATGAAAGAAAGAAAGAAAGACAGATGGAATGAAAATAAATGTGAAATGAGGCAAAGAAAGAGAATAAAATGAATTAAAAGAAAGAAAGAAAGAAAGAAAATGGATGAAAATGGGAAATGAAGAAAAGAAAGAGAAAGAAAAATGAATTAAAGGAAAAGAAAGAAAGAAAGAAAGAAAGAAAGAAAGATGGAATGTAAAGGAATGTGAAATGAGGCAAAGAAAGAGAATAAAATGAATTAAAGGGAAAGAAAGAAAGAAAGAAAGAAAGAAAGAAAGAAAGAAAGAAAGAAAGAAAATGGGAAATGAAGAAAAGAAAGAGAAAGAAAAATGAATTAAAGTAAAAGAGAAAGAAAATCGAAGGAAAAGAAATTGGAATTTAAGAAAAGAGAGAAAAGGGAATTAAAGAAAAATAAAGACAAAATCAGAAGAAAGAGCGTAGATGAAAAACATATATAAACTTTAAGAAGAGAACAAAAACATTTCTTTCTTTACTACCCCCACCCACCCAATGTCCACGTTCAGTGTTCAAGTCTTAGTAAAAGCCGTGATTTCGAATGCTGATTTTTAAGGCTGCAGCTAACCATCCCACCCTTGAAACACACCTATTTTCTTAATTTCGCCTTGTGTTGTACTAACCGAAGTCAGTAAAGTAGAAATGGTTCTTGAAAAATAGGAGACATTTGATTCTCTTAGTATAGTTTGTCACCAGAATATTCTCCCCGATAAGGTGCTATATTTGGCCTTGGAGCACACCAAACTAAGTTTAGCGAATAATAATAAAAGCAAAGAACGAAAAACATTTCATTAAATGATTTATTAACGTCTACGTTTTGGTTTCAAATAAACAATTAAAAGAAAATAAACATATACGTCATACATTTTTGTTAAGAAACGAATTAAAATAACAAAAAAATGTTCTTATTTTGATCTTATTTTTAGAAATTAAAAACAAAATGATTCCCAAATGGTTACGAGGCGATAATTTCAGTAACCAGTGGAACAGACAGGGGAGATAACTAGGTCGCTCATTTAACTCCATGTACTTTCACATAGCATTGCAATCGATTACTACACGGTAGTTTACTTCCTGGAACGTTAACCTTGGTATAGAAACAGCAATAATTCGATGCATAAGTAAAAATATCGCAATGTAGGGTGCCACTACAGTGGATTGCACACTCCAGCCGGGTTCCCATCCTGCTGGATATTT